TTATACCAAACATACCCTTAATAGTATTATCAAATGATTAATGGATGTAACGGTTTCATCTAATTGAGATCTTACTTAAGATTTTTTATAACTTTAGGATCTTAATTGAGCACAATAAAATTTTAGATCCGTTTATGTACTGGTTTAGCCTTAGAAAATTCCATATGCAAATATAAAAATAGAGTACCTATTGTCTAGGTATAATTACCCATATAAACATGGATTTGTAATATATAGCTAAGGGCATTAATTTTTTTTATTAAAAAAATATATAAGTAAGAATTTATTTATACATAAATTTTACACATCATATTTACTTAAAATCTCAATTATTTATTTTTTACTTTTAATGGTTCAATTTATTTATATTTATTAAAGATAATTATTTTTTTATTTAAAAAATTATGATAAATCTAAACTCGTAAAAGTAAAAAGATAAAGAATTAAATTTTGTATGTACATATAATGTTCGGAATGAATTGTCAAGATTTTAATAATTTATTTTTGTTATAAATGTTTAAGATTTATTCACTCTTTATAATTTATATAAGCGAATAAAGTGTTACTTAACTTAGAGCATGTTCAACGGAACTCTCTCCTGTGTTCTTTTCGAAAAGAAAACAAAAAGAGGGCTCTCATAGCCTTTGGAACATTTGGAACATTTTTAAAAGGGAGCGAGAGAGGCCAGCTCTCTTAAATTTTTTTGCCCTGTACTTAAATGGGCAAAAACGATAGATCATCTTGCACCATGCATTGACAGCATTATTCTTATCCAACGGCTTAAATCACAAAGGGATTTTAAATTTATTTTTTATGTAGTTAAATAAAATAATATTTGTGTGATTTTTTAGAAACTTTTCTTTATATGTATTAAAATAGGAAAATGATGTGTGCACATCCGGGTGTGTACACCTCCACATAAAAAAAAAAAAAACCCAACCGAGTGATCTCATTTTTTTTTTTACGTGGAGGGGTGCACATCTGTTGGATCCGAGTATGCGTCAATCATGGTCCATTAAAATATGTATTAAAATGAAATTTTTTATTGTTCTTTATTGTGCATGCCATTAGAGAACAGAAACCAGCATTGAGACTTCAGTCTTCAAACTAGGAAACCCCTTTGATTTTGCAGAAACTTCACCAAACAGCTAGAAAAATGCTGTTTATACAAGCAACGTGAGATCACAAGCTCGGACGCAATGGCTTTCCGATCTTTTTATTATTTTCGTTTTATAAATTACTCATTTTGTGTCCATATATCATCTCGAGAGTTTAGACTTGGGACAAAATTAAAAGAAATTAGAGGTTCTTGTCTGCTTTTTGCTCTTTTTTATTTTTACCTAAAAAAGTTACACGACTAATTTCATTCGTTGTTATTGGAGGTCTAAGTGTTGCAGAGCTACCGTCTCCCTCTGACGACGACGATATGAGAAAAAGGAGACTTGAAATGTTCAAGAGACAAGGTATGTTTTCGTTTCCTATATATATCGATTCAAATGGCAGCAATTTGCTTTTTGTCTACTACATGGGCCTGAGTAGCTCTTTCATATATTTATATAATAAAATATATATCAATTTTTACTCTCATAAAAAAATAGTTTTAATTTAAAAACACTATTTTTTAATAAATATTTTAAAAAATCAACCATTATATTTATGTTTCACTGACATAGGTCATCCATGTCAAATTTCAAGTTTATCTAATATCTATAGTCATTTAAAAGAAACTTATATTTTTTAATATATATTTAATAGTGATAAATTTTCTATAATAATGGATTAGTTCTATGTATTTAATTAATTTGAAAATTGATATACATGATCTATTTAAATAAAATACTAAATCTAACTGATGGTTTTTAAAATTATTCATTTGAAGGAGGTATTTTTAAAGTTGGGAATCTAATTTTTTTGAGAGTTAGGACTAATATATGCTATTATATATATATATAAAGAAAAGTGTTTATTTTCCTTCTTAGATATTAGAAGAAAAATTATTTTAAAATTACATAATTTTAATAAATTATAATTGAAAAATATTAAAATATCATATTTTAGTAGTATATTTCACTTATATGTTGGTATTTTCTTATGATATTTTATTAAAATAATATAATTTTAAAGTAATTTTTTTTTCATAATTTCACTTTGTATATATATAAAGTGTTTGCAAACCGGACCTCTAAAGAATTGGAAGGAAAAAAGTCACAAAACTATGTTATTTTAATAAACTACCATTGAAAAAGGCTAAAATAAGACTAAAATGACCTATTTTTTAAGTAGAAATGAGTGTTTTGATATCTTTCCATTATGCTTTATTAAAATTACATAAGTTTAATGGTGTTTTTCTTTTTAATATTTTAGAGACTCAGTTGATAAACATCAACATATGATGAAAATAATGCATATTATTCCTAACTTTCAAAAACAAAAAATTAGAATCCTAACTTCAAAAACACTCCCCTCGAATGAATATTTTTAAAATCAATCATTAGATTTAGAGTTATATTTATGTAGATTTTGCATATCAATTTTTAAATTCATTAAATACATAACTAGTTTATTAATTATAAAAAATTTATCACCATTAAATATATATTAAAAATACAAATTTCTTAATCGAATGATTATAGATTTTAAATCAACTTAAAAATTAATATGTATAATCTATATCAATAAAATATTAAATTCAACTATTGATTTGTGAAATTTTTCATTGGAAGAGGTTGTTTTTGAAGCCAGAACTTCAATTTTTTTATGAAAGTGGGGACTTGTATACTCACTTTTCATATATATATATGTATATAATATAGAAAAGTGTTAGTTGAATTTTATAAAGATTCAAGAGAACAAAACTCTAAAATTATATTATTTTAATAAATTCTCATTAAAAAAAGATAAAAATAACTTATTTTTAAGTAAGATTGAGTTTGTTTTGGTTTTTCCCTTGATATTTTAATGATACTATTTACTTTTGAGATTTTTTTAAAATTTTTTAGAAACTTAGCTGACAAACATTTATTTATTTATAATTTTAGTGTTTATTTACTTTACTTTTTACAAATTAAAAGAAAAATTATTTTAAAACTACTTCATTATAATAAATTATTACAAAAAAAATAGTCTAATTTTTTATTTAAAAATAGGGTATTTTATTTTTTTCAATAGAAATTTATTAAAACGACATAGTATTAAAATAATTTTCGACCTAATTTTTTAGAGGTAAGGCAAATGGATATTATTTTCTTTATATTTATATATATAGAGTAACGATATACTTATACAAAATTTTAACTATTCACCTCTTTACATTTAATAATTAGGATTTATTTTTTTTATTATATTTATTAAAGATAATTATTATTTTTCATCTAAAAATTTGTGATGAATTTGAGCCATTGATAGGGAAGAAATAAATTATTGAGATTTTGTGTAAGTGAGATATATAAAATTTATGTATAAATAAATTCTTACGTATTTGTCAGCCAATTCTCTAAAAAATTAAGATGAAAAAGGTCTCAAAATTGTGTGGTTATAATAAACTCCCATTAAAAAAAAGACTAAAATAACTTGTTTTTCCAGTCTTAATGAAAAATGTTTGTCTTTTTTTTGGGATGTTTTTATCAAAACAATATAGTTTTAAAATATCTTTTCTCTTAATATTTTAGAGGCTTCCCTGATAAATATCATATCCATATATATATATTTATAAAGCCAAGCTAGCATGAATGAATGGTGTTGTCAGTTTTGGTATTGCAGTAGCACTGGTTGAGAAAAGGGATAGAGTATTGCGACTCCTTTTCTTTCCATTCCATAGATCTGGTATATGTAACGCCTTCAACTAAACCTCTCTTTATTATTCTCAAAGCAATTTCTCCTCATTCTAATTTGTCTTGACCTTGTTGTAGGTAAACTGAGGCACATATATAATCTGAAATTAACCCATATGTATGCCAATTTGGTTCTGTGTCACCTGTGCCAGGAGATGTCAACGTACAGGGATGCAACACAACTTGTTGAAAGTGGGGCTGTCAAAGCACTTTTTCAAGCAATGAAATATGGCCCGATCGAGATTGTGAATGAAATTCTTAAAGCAAACCCTGATTTAATTTGGTGCAATAAAATGCTTTCAAGAGATATCATCATCTCTGCAATCATACGTCGTCAAGAAGATATTTTAAAGCTTGATGCAGGGAAGGAAGCACTTATCTCTTTAAGAGATGAAGATGGAAACAATGCGTTGCATCTAGCAGCAAAGTTACCTGATTGGCCTTTCGAGGATGGTGTCCATGCAGCTTGGGCCATGGATCGTGAACAAAAGTGGTTTGAGGTTGTCAATAAAATCTAACTTTATATTTCTTCTCTAATTACCAAATGGAATATATATTCTATATTTCTTACATCGTTTTATCTTACCGTATAAAATTAGAAAAGAAAAAATAGAAAGAGACAAGTGGTGAGGATTATGAAATCTCTGGGTGGAGTTGTAAGTGTAATTTGGAGTGATTGCCGAGCATCAGTAGTAATCGAATAATTTGTTTTTCTGGAAAAGATTTGTTGTTTTTTCTTCTTTATTTATTTATTTAGTTATTTATTTTAACTTTAAATTTAAGGCTAATACAGTTATGAAATGGCAGGAAATTAAGAATTACCTTCCATACTGGTGTCATGGAGCCAAAAATCATTATGGTGAAACTCCAGAGGAAATTTTTAGAAGAGAACACCGTGGATTGATAACAGAAATGGAGAAATGGGGAAAGAGAACTGCGAAGTCTTATAGTCTTGCATCTGTTCTAATTGTTACTGTTATGTATGCAGCACTGTTTACAGTTCCTGGCGGTAACGATCAAAACACCGGAATGCCCATATTATTGCACAGTAAACTGTTCTTCTGGTTTCTAATTTGTGATGCAGTGTCCTTCATTACTGCATCAACTTCATTCTTGGCATTCCTAAGTGTACTCACAGTAACTTATACCAGGAGACGTCCTCGCAACGCTATGCCCTATCAAATGTTGTTTGCTATTTCCACCCTCATCATTTCAATAGTAACGATGATCCCGGCCTTCATTTTAGCTCTTACGATAATGTTAGAAGAAAAGAAGTTGAAGGTATTACCAGCTATTATAGTATACCTACTTGTAGTTTTCTTTGTCATGTTATCTAGCTGGCTACTTCCCACACTTTCAACCCTTTGTGACATGATGGTGCCACACTTTCAACCCTTTTTGAAATGACGGTTTCTCGTTGAAGAATCTATTGAGAGATGGTCTATGGACGGTATTTGAAGTGTTCGATGGTGTCTACTTTGTACTTATTTTTAAATTTGTAACTAGTATATCCTGCCCCCACTACACGAGATATTGCTCTAAATTAATGTTATTTATAATTTTGATAGATATAAAAACAAATGTGAATGAAAATACAAACTTGATTGTTTCTAATAATTCCAATTTGATTTTCATATTTTTTAAATATTTATTTTGAATGCATTTTTTTTTACATGAAAGTCAACATAATTGTGTGTGATTTCGTCATTTACTTGCGTGGCCTCAGTAGCGCCATGCTTCTCAAAGAGAAGCAAAGTGAAGGCACCCCCTGGAGGCTTGATGTTCAAGTGTAATAATACTAAAATTATCGTAAATCATTCCAGAGCAGCTAAAAATAATACTAAAATTATCATGGTAATTATCACTTTCAAAAAAAAAAAAAAAAACCTTGACTCTGTGATTTCTTAGGGTGATAAGCAAAAATAGGAAACGCCTTTTTAGCTAGAGGTTCTAACCCTTGAGCCCTGGGTTCAGAACCCTGATGTGTCTGATCTTCTTTGAATGGTTTGTTATGTTTTAGGTTCTAACCCCTCATATCATGAGTCCGTTTGTGGTACAAAGCAAACAATAGAGGGTCCAATCCCTGAATGTACGTTCCAATCCCCCAACGTAGAAAACTTCAATAACTTGCCAAAATTGAAAGAGAAAAGTGCATTTGCAAGAAAAGGGACTGCTTATTGTAAGAGAAAAGTTCACCTTCCACTCCACATGGTATATGTGTTACATAGAAAACAAATCTTCTTCTCAAAATTTCCAATAAATCAAATAGAAAATAAATTGAGAAATCAATCCAAACTCAGTTTGATTGCAATAAAGTACGA